CAAAATATATCACAAATTAAGAAACAAGTAAGAAGTAATAATTGTTGGGAGTGTGGAAAACTTAGCGACATTGCAAAGCATTATTGGATATAACAAAATATTAACTCTTTAGAAAATAAATAGTTAAAACTGACGCTACAAAGAGTAATGATAAATTATGAACCTCAGCTTGAAAGTTCATGAGATGAATTTGAAAAAGATATGATAATGAAACATACCAATTAGATAATTCTTGTGATACAAATAATGAAGAACAAAAAGATTTCTGTTTAGGATCAAGACTGTGCGATTGTAATGATTATACTAATCCACAAATAAATATGTTGACCTCGAATCAAATAGGAGTCTTAACATCCATTATAAATAAGTTAGAAGATTCTCCTTTTAAAAATATTAAATTTATCGGTAAACTCAATGAACTAGTACAAAAAATAGAATCAATCGTTGAAGAAGTAAAACTAATTGAAATTAAAGAAATATTCTATAGATTTAAACAAATACAAAATCAAACGACAATAAAAGCCTTTCAAAATTAAGTGGTTAAAATAAGAATTTATAAAATTAAAATAAAGTCAGCTAACTTTCGAATATAGATTAATGGCACCAAAAGAAAAATAACTAATAGAACAACATATTAAAATAACATAAGAAAAGAGAGAAGTATTTCAAATGCAATTATTAAATTTAATTACTACTCATAAGTAGCTATGTGAAGTAGTCTTGATAATAGAAAAAGAAAAATTCAAGTTCATTGTACTAATTGATTCAAGTGTAGATGTAAACCGCGTACAAGAAATGTTCAAATCTACTAAATATTTTGAAAAAACTACAAAGAGAGTTACCAATGCTAATAGTAGTAAAATGATGATTAACTACAAATTATCTAATGAGATAATGCAAAAATATGTAAACACAAGATATGTTTTACAATGTTTTTGTAATAATAAAAATATGAACAATTAAATAATTTTAAGAACTTCATTTTTAAAATTATTATCCCTTTCTAGATTAGTAATATAGGAATTAATACACAAACATTTCTTGGAAAAACAATTGTCTTTGAGTTTCTAAAAGTTCCTAAAGTAAGGGAACTCAATTTGTTGCAAGAGTTTTCTGTAAAAGAAAAAAATATGATATATATAAAATAAAAATAAATAAAATTCCTTAATAAAGAAATTCAACATAAAAGAATTGAAGAACAATCAGAGTCACTAAAAATAAAAATAATAATAAAATATTTTCAAAAAAGAATTGAAAAAAAATCTTTGAAATGAATCATGTGGTCTTCCATAATAGAATATAACATCAACTAAGCCTTCCATATGAGGAGAATTTTAATGAAAAAGATATTGCAACAAAAAAGAGATCCATACACATGAATAAAGAATAAATTAAATTTTCTAAATAAGAAATCCAATAACTTTTAGATAAGGGATTAATTATACCATCAAAATCACCTTAGAGTTGTATCATGTTTTATGTTAACAAAGTTTGGGAGCAATAAATGGGAGATCCTAGATTAATAATAAATTATAAACTACTAAACAAAATATTAAAATTGATTAAATATCCTTTACTAAATAAACAAGATTTAATTAAAAGATTAACCAAATCTAATATATTTTCAAAGTTTGACATGAAATCTGAATATATCATCATATATATGTTAAAGAAAAAGATAGACATAAAACTACCTATTTAGTTCCTTTTAGGCATTATGAATGGAATGTAATGCCTAAAGGTCTTAAGAATGCACCCAATGAATTTCAAGAAATAATGAACAATATATTTTACTTATATATAATTTTTTTTATAATATACCTAGATGATGTATTTATCTTTTCAAAAGGAATAAATTAACATATCTAACACCTTAATAAATTTATAGAATTAATTAAACGGAATGAGTTAGTAGTATTAGCCAAAAAGATGAGTATATTTCAAATTTATGAAGAAAACTTTATACCAATACAAAAATCATTAGAATTTGCAGATAAATTTTCTAACGAAATTAAATATAAAGTACATTATAGAGATTTTTAGACTGTTTAAATTACATATAATATTTTTTTGTCAAATATAAGACAATATGTGTGCCATCGTATTCCAAGCTTAGAAAAGACCCTCCAATTTAGAATAAAGAGATAAGTGAAACCATAAAAAGATTAAGATCATATTCAAAACTTTTCCTTGTCTAGAAATTTCAAATCTAGATGCATCCTTCGTTGTAGAAACAGATGCATTAGAACTTGATTATGGTGGAATTCTTAAACACATATATCTTCAATCTAGAAAAGAGCAAGTTGTTAAGTATCATTCAGGTATTTGACATTCTACTTAATAAAAATATTCTATTGTCAAAAAAACGATTTTATCAATTGTTTTATGTGTAAATAAAATTCAAGATGATTTTCTCGATAAATTAAAAAAATTACAAAGCAACTCCATAGAGTTTTACAAAATGATGTTAAAAACATCGTTTCAAAATATATTTTTTAAGGTGGCAAGCTTTATTATCAAACTTTGATTTTGATATTCAACATATCAAAGTAAAAAAAAATGTATTATTTTTTTTACTAGAGTTTTTGTTGAGAAAGCAATGTCCAAAATGACAAAGAACCTATATAGTCCACCAAATGAGATCCTACAAAAAGACTTTAACAAATAATGAGTCAGCTAGTGAAGACAAGCCTACACTAAAATAAAAAAAAATCAAATTCAAACTTCAACTAAATTCACTTCTTTACCTCCAAATACTCAAAAAATAAAAATAAAAAAAATTAAAAGGTACTCATCAAGAAAAAGATTTTACAATATTCCTAATGGTAATTGAACCATAATGCTTTAGTTTATCACAACATGAAATATCAAAGAGAATATTTGTTAAAGAGTTCAATTTTATACTAATTTTTTTATGAAAAAAGAGACAATATTATGAATTAATTCTATTAGATAAATAGTTCATAGAATTAACTCATCAACAAGATTTTAAAATAGAAAAAAATATTTTTAAAAATAAAAATATTAAATATTTTGACAATACAAGATTGACAATGACTTCTCCATCAATTAAATTACAATACAATATCAGTCACAATAATATAATTACTTTGATCATATTAATGTCTCGAGTAACACGTTATTTATGGAAACACTACTTATTCTTGGTTCTTTGGTTTAGTAAAGAAATTTTTAAAATAGTTTATTACATGATTCCTAGAATTTTCAAAAAATATCTCGGTAGCTTTCCTCTACTTTTATATCTTAAATCTACTCACAACTCTACTTATATTGAATCCAACACATAGCCCACACCCTTAAAAAATATACTAAATAATCCGGGACATGAAACTAAACTCATTATTTAATTGTTGGTAATGTGCTGAGTTTAATGATTGACATTTAATCTCATCTGTGATTTTGTCGCCGAGGGAAGGAATCTGACTTTAATCCTTAAAATAGTGCTCTTGCGTTTGCATATATTGCACATATTTTGGATACCTTCCTCTTTCAGTATAGTATTGATAATTCGAATCTTCTCAAATTATTTTCTAACAACATTTTTTGGGAATATGTTTTATTATACATGCAAGAAACTTCATCTCTTTATATGGAAAAATAAGAAAATTATTAAAATAGAGAATTTTGGAAAAATTACCAATATATATATTTTTAAAATAAACTGGTCAGTTTGGATGAAAAATTATTTTATAATTTTTGATATTTTAATTTTTTAATAATTTTTAAAAAGATTGTCATTAACATATTTTTAACATTTTAAAATTTTTTAAAAGTGATTTTTGACATTTAATTTTTTAATATTTTTAAAAAAATTCCAAATTCTTTTAGCTTTAGGCAATATGTAAAATTTCTCCAAGTATTTGGTGGAGGCAATAACTTTGATTTGTTTCTAGTTAATAATTACATTTTGGTTACACAAAATTGACGTAAGAAAGAAAAACCGTAGATTTTATCAAAATAAAAGTCTAAAAAGTGAATATAAAAAAGATAAAAAAAATAAATTAAGGATTGGCACTTGCCGTTGCCGGGGACCACCACTTCAAAAACAAATGGAAATGGTGTTGGAGCTGAGTTGGAAAATATTAATTAAGTTAATAAACAAATACTAAAAAAAATATAAATTATTTAACCAATTAGTTAATTATTATTATTAACCGAAACTACATTCACTTGAGACCAATGTGTACGAGTGTTAACATAAGTGAAAGTTAAAAATAAACTTATGATCTATTTTATATTAAATTAATAGTATAAATGCTTTTTATTATATATATTTTACAAACAAACCAAAAATTTTATTTAAATTTTTGAATACTTTCACATTACTTTATAATAGTACTTTTACTCTATGACTAAATAAATTAAAAATAATTTTATAGATTTTTAATTATTTATATATGATTTATTAATTTGTTTATAAGAAAGCATTTAAATTCAAGATTCAAATCTTACACACGTTACTTATGGCCATGGGGACCCAACGGTCTTGCCCTGTCTCATACAAAACATAAAATAAAAAGTTATTATAATAATAATAAAATCTTAATGAATTTTGTTTATGTTTATGAATTATAAATTTATCGTATGTAAAAGCTTTTTAGCTAATGACAATTATAAATTACGAATAAAAATTAATGTTAGTTTTTAAAGATACTTTATGCTATCTACCTTTAGAAAAAAAATTATATACATTGTAATTCAAAAATAAAAATAAAAATTAATATTATTCATAAAAGATAAGTAATATTAATTTTTTAAAATATATTTTTTAATTATAAATTAATACTACTTAAGGAAGTCCATAATATTTGCCTTCTTTTAATCGGGTTAAGTTTAATAATATGTTTTATTACTTTACGTCGAGAAAAATAAAATAAATAGTAACTGTAAATAATAACTAATCATTTTTTTTTGGAAAAAGTTTAAATTTAAAAAATGATAACAAATCAAACGTTTCTTTTTATTTGGGTTCTCTTGTTTCCAGGTTCATCCATCATATGTGAACCAAAGAAACAACAGAGCGTTTTTGCGTTCTTCATCTTCTACCTTTCGCCAATTCAGGAACCCCCAAAAACCCTAGATCGAACGCTGCCACCAACGTTTCGTTATTCACGGTGGTGGAAATTTTCCGTTCTCTGTTTTTGAAATTCGAATATCTGCGAAAATTCTATTCGCTGTGATTTCAATTGCAGTTTCTAGGGTTATTCTGTGTGTCTTGGGGGGTTGGAAATGGGAAGCAGAAAGGAAGAAGAGAAGAACGAGAAAATCATAAGGGGTCTCATGAAGCTTCCGCCGAATCGAAGATGCATCAACTGCAATAGCTTGGTAAATTCAACTACTTTTTTGGAATTTGGTTTTCTTTTCTTCTTTGGTTTGGTGAAAGTGTGTTTTAGTTTCATTACTTTTATGTTTTATCGTTTTTGTGTTTTGTGCTATGTTGGAAGCTTAAAGTCTTAATGGGCTTTGAAGTGGGGATAGTTATTGAGAGCTGAGAAAGGTTGGAAATTTTTCAAAAATTTGATATAGCAATTTTTAATTTTTAGGTGCCACTATTTTTTTTTCAATTTTGTTTTTTGCGGTTCCCAAAATTACAATGATTAGGAGTTTAGAAAATTAGCATTTGCCAAAGGTTATTATAAAAAAGAAATGAAAATTGATCATGTGATTTTCTTTTTCTCAGCATCCTATGCAAGATTATATGATTTTATGATGTTAATCTCGATGATTTCTAGGGTATTTGTGAAAAGACCTTATGAATGTTTGGTCTTTCTTATAAGATGATTCCCTGTTAATTGATATGCTATTATTTGTGCAGGGACCGCAATATGTATGTATAAATTTTTGGACTTTTATTTGCATGACATGCAGTGGAATACAGTGAGTTCCTTTTCATTTTATTAGCTCGTGCTTTATATTCCTTCATTTTGATATTCATAAAATCTAAGAAAGATGTTTAATTTTTATCATTTGCCAAGTCCTAAATGTTCAAATTTGATTGGGATTCAGTTGAGAAAAAAGTACAGGCTTGATGTAAAGTTTCAGCTAATTGTTATTGATATATTATGTATTTACTTTTTAGTCATAACATGTTTGCAAAGTTATGGCATGCTAGATGCTCTTGTGGTTGAAAATAATCATGAGCATGCATTATTTTCATTAATATATTAAATTTTTTAAACTACTGCAGTAGTTGATAATAATTGATTTAAATAGTATTTTAGTCCCTCCACAAAATTTGTATTTTCAATTTGGTCCCTATACAAAAGAATTTTGTAAATAAGTCCCTAAATAAAAAATATTCTAAAAATAATTCCTGCTATTAACGTACATATAATGTCATTATCTTGTATTTAAACAAATTTGATTTTGATCCTCATACATAACACATTTTTTAGTTCTTGTCTGTTTATGAAAACAAATTTAAATTCTGTGGTTCAAAATAAAAATAATTTGTTACATATTGGGATAACAATAAAAAAATGTGTTTTGCATAAGGATAAAAATATAAAAAAGTGTTATGTAGAGACTAGAGAGGTCAAAATAAAATACACCATCAAAATAAGTTGAAAGAGATTATGACCATTATGACAGGTTACAAAAGGTGATTAACTAATTTTAAATAATGCACCTGTAGACTAATGTTGTTACAAAAATTGTTGTGAGAAGTTGGTGTTTGAGAGTTTGGTAAAAGATATTTTGGTGTTATAATTATACTCTTAGGATCTTTGAGAGATTATTTAAGAAATTGTTTGAATACAAAACTTAAATGCAATACTTTAATTCTAACCTTTATTATGTTGGTTATTGAGGTAAAAATTTAATATTAATTGGAGGCCATCACTTAAAGGACTGTATTTAAGTGTTGTTCATAAAATAAATAGTCGCACCATAATTGTACTTGGAAATATGAACAAATTTAATTATAGATTTGAACCTATAAGATGAATGAACAAAACTAAAAAGGAGGTTGTCACTACTCTCTCAACTCTCAAGTGGAAAAAAGAAGGGCTTTAATATTTGAAAATCAGTGTACATTCTCTCTTTTCAATCTTTCACAATAAAAAAAAGTAAAATACTTTTTACCTAAATCTCAAACACCATCTTCTCATAATAACCTCTATAATCACATTAAGTTACTATTGCATTGTTTAAAATCATATTTTATAATCTATTATGAATCACCATAGCATAACATTTTTCAACTTGTGTTTGATGGTGAATTTGTTTTTTACCTCTATACAAAATAATTTTTGTTTTTTTCATTTTGGTTCATTGTGAAGCACATTTTTTTATCTTGATCCCTATAATTGAATTTTTTAAGTATAAGAATTAAAATAAAAATTGGATTATGTTAGGGATTATGTTAGGGACTATGAGATAACAGTTCTATAACAGAATTTAATGTTACAGACTATTTTGGAAATATTTTTTATTTAGGGATTTATTTGCAATTTTTTTTGTATAGGGACCAAATTGAAAATGTGGCTTTTGTATAGGGACTAACATAATATTTTAACCATAATAATTTGAGAAAATCTTTAATTCCAAAATGGAATTTGAAAACATTTCTGCTTGACTTGTGGACATTTTGGCATGAGAGATAAAATTCCTAGAAAGTATGAAAGCTTCCTAATAATTATTTCTTGTTGAAGGAAATATTTGAACATTATGTTTAATAAATTGTATCATATACATATACTTTGAATTGAACTTGTAGTGAATATTGTTACCCTTGTTTGTGCTTCTATAGCATCTACCGTTTCTTGTGATGTTTTATACTCATCCTACAATGATATTACATTCCTCTGTTATCATGGTTTAATGGTTGTCAATTATTCTTCTTTATAATGCAATTAGTGTTAATTCCTTTTAATTTCAATTCCATGTAGCCTTCTTCTCCTAGTGGAAAAAGGCGTGGTTATTATTGTAGTTGTATTCTATGTATGTGGTGATTTTGTATGATTCTTGAAATCACCTGTTTATTTTCATGCCTTGTAGTCGTGAATTTACCCATCGTGTGAAGTCTGTGTCAATGGCTAAATTTACTTCACAAGAAGTTGATGCTCTTCAAAATGGAGGTAATCAGGTAAAAGGGTGATTTTATTTTTATTTTTTTTTTGGTATTACTTTTTGACAGTTTCCTTTTTAAGGGTGAATTTTCTTCATTTGTAGTTAAAAGTTTCCTTGTTGAAATGAAATTAATCTGTGGCTTTCTTATTCTAGCGGGCAAGGGAAATATACCTGAAAGATTGGGACTTCCAAAGGCAACGGTTGCCAGATAACAGGTGTAATTACATGGTTTGCAGTTAAAGCTAGATAATTAACCTGATTTTTTAACCTATTAATATGCATAACTTGTGTGACATTATCACATTATGCTTTTGCAGCAATGTTGAAAAAATAAGGGAATTTATAAGAAGTGTATATGTAGATAGAAGATATTTTGGAGTGAAGTCTTCAGAAAAGCCTCCAAGAGACTCACAGGTAATGTTTTCTTAGATACTGATTTATTTCGCTCTTTCTCTGTATAACTATTTCTTCTTAAGCTTAGTATAGCTTATTCTTTTATCTACTGTCCCTTTTCATCCTTTGCAAAAGAAGTATTAGGTTTCTAGATATGTTTGTGGTGTATGATAATTATTTGTGGTTCCTTTGTTCTAAATATAATATTATATTCAAATCAATATAAAATTGCATAAATAAGTGAAAGAAAAGTAAATGCATAAGGTGATCAGTTACATTGATCTTCTTTCAGGTATTGTGCATGTAATTGTTATTGTTAATGGTTTAAATTTTTGAATGTGATGAAGTAAACGATGCCTTAGCAGTCACTAAGCAATTCAGCTAGACATAACTAATTAATTGCATAAGTATCTATCCTCATAGTCCAACTTTCCAATTTAATATTGCCCTTTAGTTAAATGCTGAACGTTTTATGTTTGGAATTAACTGTAGAGCCCAAGAATTCATGAAGATGAAATTAGACGTGCCAGTTCGTATCATTCATATTCTCAAAGTCCTCCATATGATTATCAATATGAGGATCGACGGTATGGAAAACAAGCAGCTGCATTGACTAGGAAGCCTGGTTCAGATAAAGTTCGCTATGAAGGGAAGATGTCTAGTATTATCTACAGTCCTGGGCGCTTTAGTGATCATGCATATGATGACAGATTTGCAAATGAGGGATCTGGTCCAAGAATTTCTGACTTTTCTGTGTCTAGTGCTGGTGACCAATTCAAATCTGATGTTCATTCTCCCAATTATCATAAGGATAGTGGGATTAGCAGTCCTTCCAATCAGGGTTCTGGTTCCAGTTCAAGTGAAGATGTGTGGTCCCAAGCAAGAAATACATCTCTAGAAACCAATGCCAATGTCAATGCCAAGAGGGATGCAGATGGAATCCATCCTCTGCAGGTCTGTTTTTCTTGCTCTTCTTTGATATATAAATATGTGTATTCTTAAAAGTACTATCTTTTTTTTCTCACTAGTAAGATTATATTTTTCCTGAATGTTTCAGAACTTGGTATTTTCATGTTTTTACTTGTTATGATGTCGTTTAAACCAAATGAGATGTTAGGTATCTAATAATTATATTCATATCTAGTGGACTGTATTGGTTCTCAGAATCGGAATATTATCCACAGAAAAATTGGCTTTTACTGTAGGTATCAAATAATAGATTGCCATAATGTTTCTGGTTTGGGATGAAAGCTGTTATCAAGTAACATAATGCATAGAAAGTTATTATTGTGGTAACATGGTACAAATCCCTATGGAAAGTGGGGCATTACATTTTCTTACGGTAGTGAGATCAACTCTTCAGGGCAGCAGTAGTGGGATTAACATCTGTATTCAGTGTCTTTGTAGTTCTTATTTTTTACTACATCTTTCTGCCTGCTAATGTCAATTATAGTAGAGAAAGATCTATTGAAAAGTTGAGACTTGATAAGTAGTCTTCTTCATGATTGTCACATCCAAACATTCAAATGATACCTTTCTTAAGTAATTAAAGATTGACTTAGTTTGAGTATTATTGTTCAAACCCCTTGGTGAATAAGCATTCTCTTTGAATGGTTGTGTGTTTTCTTCATTTTCTGAATGCTTGTGGCCTTATTTCTGTTGCAAGCTGATCATGTATTCTCGATTTGCATGACATTGATTCACACTCATTCTGCAGAGAACTGCATCAACACAATCAACAGACAGAAAATTTTCATCCTTGAGATCTTATCATTCTGGCAGTTTAGTTGATTTTTTATCAGAACCAGTCCAAGCTTCAGAATCCCTTCAGAATAAAGCATTTGGAATTCCAAGACCATCTGGTCCTACAAGATCTACTAGCATGGACCTCTCCAAGGCACCACTGGAATCAACTTCATCTGTTGATCTTTTTCAGTTACCAGAAGCACCCTCACAAGCTCCATTAGTGGATCTGTTTCAATCATCTGTTTTGTCTGAAACTCCGTCTTTCAATGTGAATCAACTTACTCAAACATCCCAACCTGTATCTGTTGACCTTTTTGCAGATCTTTCTCTGCAGTCTTCTACAGTATCCTCAAATAAGAGCTCCCTAGAGTTATCTGTTTCTAAAAATGAAGGATGGGCAACTTTTGATATGCCTCAGGGTACATCATCTACTGCACAAGTGGAAAATCCAGCCACTGTAACCTCAAGTGCTGAACCTTCGCAGGAAAGATTTGATCCATTTTCAACCTCAAATCCAAACATGCAATGGCCATCTTTTGAATTTTCTAGTGTCAGTGTACCTTCTTCAGTAACGTCTAATTTATGGCATGATGGCTTGGGGAATAGGAAAGAACAAGGTTCTGTTTCAGCAACAAACTCTCAAGTAAGTACAAGAAAGTTTGATTGATGGCTGGTTTGGCATTATTGTGCCACATATTCCTTTAGAAATAAATGGTGTCCTATGCTTATGTTGCCCTTAAAATTTTAAACACATTATGGAATAAATTGAAACTCATTGGTTTTGTAGCCATGGAATGCATTTGAAGATTCTGGTGGCGATCTTCCTGTGGATGCCCATAGTCAAGAATTACAAATGCACAATTTTCCATCAGCTGATAATCGATTTTGGGGTTTAAGAGAGGCTGAGGTAGATATATGTATACTGTATACCATGACAGTCTCTATGATCTTGAAGAAATTCACAAGTTCTCCAGTTTTTCTTCATCCGCCTTTATTTATTTTTTCAAAATCAGGGATTCAATAAAGATGTAGTTCAAGGTACTGCCCCTATTGGTGGATTTGATAATCATGACATACCATCACATGTCAGTGGCTCACCATATCCCCTGCCACCACTTCCTCCAATGGTTTGTGCTCTTAGGTTGCTTGAGAATTTCTTATTTTCCAAGTGGAAGGTTTTCATTATATATATTTTTGGTTATTAATTTTGTTTCTTCTTTCAGGGAGATATTCAACAAAATGTAGTCAATTTTAAATCAACTAATCCATTTGATTATCCCTATGAATCTGATGTAGATCACAACAATATGGTATGTCGTGGACAGTGAGTAGGTGTTTGTCTGTTATTTAATCATTTTAGTATAGTTTTGTTTGTTTCTGTGGACCTCATTACACTTGTTCCTAATGACTCTTCTTTAATATTTGAATTCTTATATTAGTAATAATTCCTCCGATCATACCTTTGAAGGTTCCTAGCCTGTGATCGTAACCATGTTGATTCTTCATTGTAACATCAAGTTTTATATTCAGTATATTTTAGTGATCTTAATAGAAGCTCCTCCATTCAAAATTTGACACTCCACCACACAGCTCTCAAATTCTAAATGTTTGAATTTAAGTTAATTCTTGTGGCATGAATTCCAATACATAGGTATTGCTGCCTACTGAAAAGATACAAATTTGATAATGTGAATCATGGGATATAGGAGACAGTGAGATAATGACTTATCTTCACTTTCGTAATATACTTTACATGTTTGATGTTTCCCTTGCAGTTTGTTGATATGAGCTCTTTGCAAGCTGCCCTGCCAGATGCCCTGTTGCCAGCCACCTTACGTGGTGGTATAGCTGAACCTTGGCTTCCTCAAAATACAGTGACCCCATATATTTCCTCTGCTGGAGAAGGTAGTCCTTGAAACTAAGTTCAAACATCATTGACCTGAAACATTTTAATATACACATTGTCATATTGCCTATTATTTCTTTTGCTGTTTGAATAATCATGTAAGTGTTCAGTATCACTTTTCTAAATGCAACTCAAATATTGGTGTCAGTGCTATTTCTTCCTGTCACCCTATTTTTATTTTGATAATTTGAGTAATTTGTGTAGGTGGTTTGTCATTCATGGCTATGCAGTCTCCAAGTTCTCAAATACAGTAAGTTGCATACATGGTCTTTATTCTATGTTTTTCTTTTTCTCCTATGTTTTTGGATATGGTGGTTGTGAACTTGTGATTCATGGAAATCTATGTACACACTTTTTCCTTGTTGATCTTATTCTTTCTACCAAGATAGAAAATGTTTGGCATTTCTTATGAAGCAGTGACTGTGATCATTAGATGATTATTGTTTATCATTGTTGAAAAGAGAGAGAATGTAGAAGGGGATGAATTCCTTGTGTGAAAAATTGAAATACATAGTGGAGCATATATTTATTGAGTCAGGATCCGTTGTCACCAAGGGTTAAACTTAAACACTTACATCATTTAATAACCTTTTATAGAATGCAAGATTGATATCAAATTTTTCATAATTTAGATACTTGTAGGTATATTATCCAAAATTTGATATTTTCTTATATTTTGAAAACATATCACACGCTGAAATAAAGTAATGTGATGGAGTACTTATTCATTTTGTTTTTATATGAAATTTGAAGTTGATTTATTTTATAAGAACTTTCAAACCAATGGCTAGATTAATTAATCCCGCATTCTATGAAAAGCTAATAAGTAGTGTAAGTATCAAAGTTTAACATATGGTGTTAACGTATCCTAACTCATTTATTAGGAGTCATAAATATATCACCATAATTACAAGAATATATTTTGCCCAGTTTGCATTATTACTATAATTACATTATTTCCAACGCACACTCGAGCAAGAGTGTATAAATCATTTGCACTTAACTTATAATAAAATTTGAGGACCTCAATAATTTGGTAAAAGCATCTTGATGCAGAACAGTAGCTCCAAAGTTACACCTTTTAGCAGGATACTCATGGATAAACCTATAGTACTCCTTTAGAATGAGTACTCCTCTTGGGTGAGTTCTCCAATACTTATGAAGAATAGGAAAAATTAATTATCATAAGTCTTTTTAACTATTTACGAAGAGAACCTATTTATAGGTTACATAAAAGCTTAACAAAATATAAGTAACAAAATTGAAGAAAATCTTAATTTAGGAAAACTAACTAAAAGTCAAGTCATAAATTAAGATAATTTAATCTACATCATACTCCTGAGTAAGAACTCTCTGGAGAGGTATAAATCCGTAGTAGTTGAAAGGAGCAATAGAAGAACCAATGTACTCAAATCCAAAATAGTCTCCATCTCATTTGATGGTGGGGGAGCAGTAATTCAAGAGACTAGATGGGATTTGGAATTTGGGAAAACAGTTGGGGACAAGAGAGGTTAAAAGTTGCCTGTTAAACTCTTAACATTATAATCAGGGCTAATATACATATCACTAAGAAGATCAAGTAAGTATTAAAACCATACTTGTCCAATTAGCAAAGGCTTAGGAGTTCTAGCATGAAGATAATGCGTAGGTCAAAGCATATTGCAACATAGTCACCCACATCAAAATTGATTTCTTAATAGGGACTTTTACAGATTGACCTAGGAACAAAATTGTCATAAGCAAACTAACCCATTGGGCAAAATTAAATTCCAATTCCCTAGCATCTTCCTAACAAGGCACCTAAGCAAATCACTCAAACTATGGTCAACAACTCTAGTTTGAACCATCCGTTTGAAGGTGGAAAACAACAGAAAACTTCAATTAAGTTTCAAGTAACATCCATAAGGGTTTTCAGAAGTAACTCAAACTTCAAATCTATATTTGACATAATAGAACAAGACAACATGTGAAAATGAACTACTTGAAATAAACCAAAAGGCTTGGCAAGCCACTTGTAATAGTCATTTTGAGTCTTGAAAGTAGTTTCCCACTCATCTCCTAGCCTAAGTTCAATCTAACAGTACTCACTCGAAAACCAGCTAGCATTCACAACCTGGTCCAAATTAACCTCCAACCTATGAATGGTGAACCTATACTTGATGGTGATCTTGTTAATGGCCCTACTATTAACACACTTGTTATCCTTCAAGCAAGTATACCCATTGAGAATAGTAAAAAGGAGTATTTAAAATCTTTAACGTCCCATAGAAACTATTCCAACAAATACTAGATCTATTAAATTTACTATTATTGAGATTAACCAAAGAACTGATGAAATTGCAAATTATAATAATAATTAAGAATAAAAAATAAGATGAAAGCAAAGTAAAAGAGCAGCGAGACAAACAAACATGTGCGAAAAGAACAAATTATGAATTGACTTAGGGCTTTGGTTTCACCTATAAGCTCCTTGATTTTTTTCCCTTTTATCTTTTCACGGATTAATCCTTGTCATATGGTTAATCATTTACTTCAATTCTACAATTATTCAGTGATCATGCAATAATACTATTCTTTTTTCCTTTTATTAATTTTTTCAATGATTATGCAAGGCAATTTATAATGAGGAAAACTCAAAACTCGAATAACCAATGAGTTTGTTAATTTAAACTAACTAGAAATTTAGAATTCCAATTGATCTTTCAAAACACTAAGTTCAATTTTATCTCATGAATCCGCTAACTATGTAATGGCATGATTTCATCTTATCTAATTATTTAAGGATTATTTAGGTGATCGATTCTTATGAATAAAAACAATGAGACAAACTATATATATACACACACACACACACACACACACACACACTCCAAGAAAGAGTTAAAAACCAATCCCTAAACCTTGGCTATGGATTTAGGTTACTCATATAAATGAAAATATAAAATCAAACTATATCACACACACACAAAAAAAAAAAAATCCTATTTAAAAGAGAACTAGAAAGAAAAACCCATGTATTTAGATGTTTTGATGTCACGGTGGCAGGTTGATTTTTAAAGTGCTTGATAGTTCCAAAGCTCTAATACTTCTGCTACTGCTAAGGGAGAGTGATGAAGAATATGTGACGTATACATTAAAAATGACTCTCCTGAGTTATATAAAGAGATAAGATAAGAGATAAAAAGTAGTAGATAAGAGATATTTCTAATGAGAAATGACAATATAAGAGAAAAGATAGAGAAATGAGAGATAATAAGATATGTCTATTTTCCATATAAAAATTCAAATTTTGAATTATGCACGGCTGTGCTGACTCTAAATTCCTTAAAATTGGCTCAGATTTGAATATATTTGCTCCAAAAAGTATTGAGTCTTTACCTGTATTTGTAATAAAATAGGAAAAATAGGTAAAAGTAGATAAACTAATGAGCTCAAGTAGATGATAATTCACCTAAAATTCTATAAATAAACTCACAAAATGACAGTTTATCAGATGTCCCTCTTTGGTGACAATTAATTAATTGATCAAGTTCCTTAGAGGACCTATAAGTTAGGGTGCTGGGAAACTCTAGTACTAGGAATGATTGTTAATTCCTCAATAGATTCCAAACTCAAACTCCTTATCGGTCCACAAAAGTGATTTTTTTGTTTTTTTCAGTGCACTTTGTTATTGTTGCACCTTTAGAGGAGCTTTGGGTTGGACAGAATGCATTGTGATATTCTAGCTTTGATGGCGAAAAGAATAGGTGTTCTGTCGGTCTTGGTTGAGGACATCGTGGTCATATAACCAAGGACGTCATTGACTGAATGAACTTCATTGAGCAACATGTTTGTCCAAAGATTATTTACATGTTTGATATAATTTTTGACAGAACATTATCTAACAATGTAGTCTATTACCTCTTCTAATGTTGGCGAAAGACAATGGTCTATTTTGTGACAATGTGTCTTCATTGACTGACCTTTGCATATTTACAGGAATATCCAAACACCCGAACCAGTTGCTTCGTTTGGGGGAAATCCATTTGCATAAAATCATTGTCTAGAATGTAGTGTTGCTTTCATATAGTAATTTATTGGTAGCCAGTTTAAGATGCTCTTGGAAGTAATTAAATGCTTTGTTAGAGCAAAATGTAGTTCATCACTTCCCCTCGAGGAGGGCCTTGCAATTCATAGGCCGTGTTATATTCAGGCCATGCATTTGTAATACTGCAATTGAGTTACATTATAGTTAGATAACTAATGTTTAATTAATTTTCTGGCTGGTATTGAACTTCACCACTCAGGAGATTATGGAGGGCATTCCACTCTGTTCATAATTGTAATGTAATTGTAACTGTAATTATTAGGGCATCTGATGTTGCGCCTGCCTACCCGATATAATGTATAATGCGGGTAACATTGTTATAATCATTATTATGATTTTGGTTTTTGAATATTTTTCTTTATCTTTTTTCTAGTGCAAGACTTCATCAAACTTAAGGTTGAAGTGCGGTGACTACGGTCATCTGAGCATAAAAAAACAATGTTTGCGGTGATGCCTAATTTTAGAATTAAATTTCCGAACTAGTGTTGAAATTTTACGGGTCAGTTGTTTCAGCCTGAGATTCTAAAACCCTTGGTTTACTTCTCGCTTTGGGTTTAGGGTTTTCGTTAGTACACTAAGCGTGTGGGACACATGCAGAATTTTCTAGTTAAGTCAATTTGTGCTTAGAATTGCAATTAATGGAGTGCAGTTATTTAGCGTTGAAACGGGATGGGATAAGTTGTATCGTTTTATGCAGTTCTGTTATTGTTAAAGAGGTGTCAAGAAGACAGTGAAGAAGTTAGTTTGGCGTTAGGTCATTTTGGTTTTTGGTTTAATAGGAAAGTTGTCTCGAACAGATTTGATTCTTGCGACTTCAGAATTGGCTGTTCTTGATTTGATCATTGTGAAAAATTATAATCGGTACTTAGCTAAAAGGAGAGCATGGACTGTTTGACTCGTGTGGGTCCTTAGTATTGCCCAAGTCAAATTTGAACGAGTATTCTTTGTATCATTGTATAAAATCTTGCTTATAAAAAAAAATCCTTCAAATTGATGGTATAAAATTTTAATAGATGATTTTTTTTATTTTAAAAATATAGCTTGTTAATTAAAAGTTAAATGTATAATAAATATGAAAAAAGTTGTTAAAAAATATTGAATCTCATCATAAATCACATTTAATATAATCTATTTTAGATTAGCGTATGTGCAATGGTAGAATAGTAAAATTAATATATTTGTTATTTAATTGATTCTGTTTTGCATATAGAAAGGGAAATAGTTTTATTCAGTTGTTTAATTAACAGTTCATTTTTTTAAAGTTTAATTTAGCAATATATAACTGTTTGAATTGATTATTGAACACTCTTGTCAATAACTCTTGTTAATAACCATAAACATTTTATTAAACCATTAATAAAGAAGTGAAAATCAAGATTACAAGAATCAACGTCAAATACAAAGCAAAAGGAACGGGAAAGTAGCGCGTGGTTATATTTGCTTCAATGACTGTGTTTCAAGTTGGCAGGTGTGCAGCAACAAAGGCATTGCCAAGCAAAATCTGAAAATTTGTATTGAGTTGTTGTTCGAGAGAAATGAAAAATTCAAATTATAAGGGTTATTTCTCGAAGTGAATGAACATAGAGTTTTAATTGAAATGAAGAAATATTTTTAACTAAGTTTTATACGAAAGTTGTAACTAGGAAAATATGATTTTTCGAAAAGTATTATTTCAATAAGTTTTTAGTCTGATTATGAATAGTTATTTTTGGATAAAATTGCGATCAATCTTTTTGCCTCCATTCTTCAAGAATCAGAAATATCATTTTTAATAAAGTTTGAATTTATTCATTTGGAATTTGGACTTTTTTACTGCATTTTTATTTATTTATTTTTCTTTTTTGAAGGTACAAGAATGTCAAAATTGGTTAAGAGAGAATGTTTCGAGGTGTTTTCAGAAAGTATCATAATTATTAACTATGGTCAAGAATTGGTGGAAGACTATTTTGTAGGAAGTCAAATTAAACTATTTCTAAAGTATTTCAAGTAATAAAAGCTTTAGAGATGAAAGATTTGGGTCGAATTCCAATATATCAGGAGCGGTTATTAGCAGTTACAAGAGCAAACACTTAGAAAATATTGTAGATGTTAAGTAATAGTTATGTTTAGGGTTTAGAGTTTTAGGTAGTTATGTTGTATAAGAACATGTTCTAGATAGTTATTATTTTTTTTTTCTATAAATAAGCTTTCAAATCATAGTTTATAGGTTACAGCTTTTACACTAACACTTGCACTTAGTATCTTGAGTATTGTCAACGTTCTACCTATGTTAGACCAACATATACTTTGTCATTTTGAAAGTTGTACTGATGTTATTGCAATTTAATTTCAATCTAGTGGTTTTTTTAAATCTTTCATTGTTTTTAGATATTTTGTTTCTTTAATCTTCCTTTTTATATTTCTTTGTGACTTTTTTTTTCTTCCTTTTTTATTTTTACTTTTACAATTTATTTGCGATGTTCAGTGATTTACATTGAAAATATACTATAAAGAACTCGTTAAGATCTAAAATTCAATCTTAGGTTATTTTTGAATTTATTTGTTTGCTGAAAAAATTCATTGTAAATAGTTGTCGAGTTCTTTGTCAGCTATATGGTCTTTGATTCACAGTAAATCATGCTGCAAAAAAGGAAAGTAAAGCAAAATGAAGATAGGTTTAGAGAGTGATAGTGCCTAAGTAAAGTTTTCTAAATACACTGTCGCAACATGGGTCGCATGAAGGAACAACAAGGGTGCTTTTAAAAAACATTAATTTTTAAGAATAAATATTTTTTAAAAATCAAATAAGTCACCATAAAAGTTTATTAAATAAAATTTTGAAAAAACTATTAAACCAGTATGATCTTTGAAATCAAGATGGGTTTGAGAGTTATTTACATATAAAGAAGAATGTATTAGCACCTTATAATATTTGTTTAAATAACAATTTTCTTAAATTAACTATGCAAATTCATTATGATTTTGAAAATATTTGTTTAACCTTTAAAAAATAATTTTTTCTATTTTATTTTAAAAGAAAGAAAATTTATTTACTAAAATATTAATTGACATTTTTAAAAAAGTGAAAAAATTATTTTAACTAATGAGTCTCATTTTTACTCTTAGATATCCCAGATGTAATGACAAACTCAAAGTCATGTAATTCTATTTAAAATATTATAAAATTCATCAATTAAAATTATTTTTATAAGATTGTAACGTTTAAGATGTAAAATAACGTGACTATATAAAAATATTATACGATAAATAATACAAAAAGAAAAAAAATGTTACACATTTATATTTTAAATTATTAAAAATAAAAGATATATATATATATATATATTATATTTGTAAAGTAAATATTTAAATATTTATATTGAAAAGACTTTAAAACAACATAAGTTGTACATAGATTCTTTATAACTTATTTGATAACCAAAGTAATTTAAATCATACATAAATTTTGTAAAGCATTATATACAAGACCAAAAATAATTTTAAGTAATTCCATATTTATTTGTTTAATTTATCATGTTTAAGATATGACTTAAATTTTTAAATAATTAAATTAACTATTTATTTAAGAGGAAAAATAATATTTAAATAAAAGAATGAAAAGTATATTTAGATTAATTAGTAAAAATAATTATTTTATTAAAAAAATTTAAAATATAACTTAATAAATTTATATTGCATAGAACTCAAGGTACTATATAAAAGGTCTTAAGTTTCAAGTACGCAAAGATAAAGACACTGCACAAATGTTATAAATAGTTGTATCAATATGATTTTAACTTAGTTAATAAATGAGTAAATTAATTATTTATTATTTTAAAAAATATATATATAAAAAAATATATTTTGATTAGTTATCTAATTAATTAAAATTTAAAATATAATTTAATTTAAGATAAACTTGTATTATTTATAATTGAAAGAATGAATATTTAAAAGAATATATTTTAGTTGATAAAATATATATTTAAAGAATTTAAAAGTAAACTAAAATGTACTTTAATATTTTTTTTAAAAATATCTATATATTGTGTGCGACTTAAAATAATGTAAGTATATATAAGTTTCAACGATTTACAATATATTAAGATAAAGACATTATAAATTAGTATTGTAAATCCTTGCATTAATTAAATAAAATAGTTTTAATTTAATTTAATAAATAAATAAATTATATTTGATAAATCAATGAGGTAAAATTAAAGGAGACATACTTTGATTGATTAATAAATTATATAATTAAATAAAAATGAATCTTGATTCAATTTTAAATTTTTTATATTATTTAATAATTTAAGAGAAAGAGATTTTAGGTAAAAAATTTAAATTAAATGAAAATTATATAATTTATTAATTTTAAAAGTAAGATTTATTTTTTGAATATATTAATGGTATATGAGACCTAAGGTAGTATTGGTACACATAAACTTTGACAATTTATAATGTATAAAGGTAAAGTTGTTATACATTAATATTATAAACTATTGTATTAATAAAATAATTGTCATAATTTAATTGATTGATTAAAAATTTGATAATCAAAGAGAAAATATTTAAAGGAATGTATTTCAAATAATTGATAAAATAATTACCTAATTAATTAAAGGTAGAATATGATAAAGTGATATCATATGAAGTCTAAAGTAACGTCACGTCAACCTTATCGATCTATAGCACATGGTAATAGAGAAACTACATATTAGTATTATAATTGATACAAATATTTTATTATTTAAAAGAATATAATTTTTCAAATATAGAATAGGAGAGCAAAATTTAAATCATATTAAATTTACGTCATACAAGAATAAAACAATAATAAGATAATGGTGCTAATAAATAAATATACAAAGATAAATAAAATAATGACAAGAGAATACATGAATATTATATCAAAGATAGTATTTTTATTTTTAATATTCTTTTTACCCACTCTACTACTACCACTATTATTATTATTCATAAAGACAGTAGAAAACTAAAACTATGACCCAAATAATCAAATATTAAAGTTAATAACTACAAATGCATGATTCTAATATCAAAATAAAACTAAAGTAAGAATGGATGTATTATTTTAACTTTAATAAAAAAAATTGTTTCAGCCATTTTTTATTATTTAAAAAAATATAAAAATCACTTGAAAAAATAAAAAAAAATGTTTAGATAAAAAAAAAACAATATAGGTATAAAATAACAATACTAGAATAAAGGTAACTTTTGGATACAAAGTTTTAGTTTTAAAAGTCTATTTTATATTAGTATTATCAATAAAGAAAAGAAAATTGTTAATAAAAATTAAAAGGGTAGATTTAGTAAGCAAAATATAATTATAAATATGTGTATAA